GCCATAGCGGCACATGTGGCATGTCAGCAAATGATGTTGGTCGCACAGTCGCTTGACCTCATCATACGTCCAGATCTTGGAGCCTAACGGATGCTCAAAGATGGCTTGCCCTCCAAGTGCAATCTGTTGTTCAAACAATTTGCAACAAAACTTGACAAACATGCGGCTTTGCCGAACACGGCGCATGTCCTTTTGAGGATCCATCGTGCAGGCATTCAAATGGAACCACCCCCCCTCATCGGTGCAGGGAGGGCAAAGGACCAAAAGATCTGGTGGGTTTTCTCTAAGCTCGCGTGCAACATCGTCTCGGGTCTGTGGCTTCGTAAAGTCATAGCCAGTTTTCAGATCATAAGATCGGCAGCTACCTCCTACTCCCTGAACCAGTGGTGAAAACCTTTGGGGGCAAAACACTTCGGCAACTAGGAGTGGCTTACTATCAACCTTAGTAGACGGGGTCTTTGCTGCATGGCTGACCTGAGACTCTAATTGGCGCACGCAGTGCGCAGGCAAGGCCTCAGTGGTGATCATCTTTTCCTGTGGCTGAAAGTGAAACTCGGTTGTAACATGAAGCACCTCTTTGGGAATGTCTTGATGCTAACATTTCTTGGGCTTAGTAGTACTAATCGGCTCATCAAACAAAACATTACCAGTGGCACTATCAATAACCCTTCTATGTTTCACGGCTTGCCATGGAGGACCCTGTTTACCTGATGTAATTGCCTTAGAGATATATGAGTCATGTCTGCACCACACTTGCAGTGGATTGAGCTGTCCTGGATCAGCATCGAGGGATGACTTGGAGATAGGTGCAGGCTCGACCGCTATCTCAACGTTCGCATCACTGCAGTCGGATGGGACCTCTGAAGAGGCAGGCAGAGCACTCTGGTTCATCATGACTTCTTCAAACTCATCAGCGGCATCGGCCTTCTGAACATCACCAATCACATGAATCACATACTGGCCGGCTTCGTTGGTATGCAAAGGGATGGCCACTTGGTCTGCAAACAGTTTCATTTCGTTTTTGCCAAAATCCACAACGGCTTGCAGGGACTGCAGAGCATTCCTGGAGATCAACAACGGTGCACGACCTTTCACAATTGCAGCCTTAATCACCCCTTGACGACCAGCTATGACCACGGGAACTCGGATCATTGATTCAGAAGTCTCTCGTTCACCGTTGCCAAATTTAAAGTGATTCAGCTCATACTGCACTTCGGGAATTGGAATGCGATCTTTCCAGAGCTGCTTGAACTCCTCGAGTGTCTCACGACCTACAATGGTGCGGCCACACCCAGAATCAATGATTCCAAAACCAGGTGAGCTGACAAGCAGGACCTCAGGAGACACAGGCAACATGGTCAAGGCATCTGGAAGAGGACCACCATCATCAGGACATACTTTGGCATCAGGAAGGACTTTGGAACGTTCAGCTCGTCGTTGACGAAGCAGCATCAGGGCACTGCTGGTCAGATCAGTTGATGGGCAAATGCTCACAGCAGCAACAAAATCTTCACGGAAGGGTTCCACCAGAGCTGCACCTGTATCAGCTGACTTTGCAGAGCCAGATCCACGTCCTTTACCCTTGCCAGACCTGCATTCACGGGACCAATGTCCGACTTGATGACACTTGTGGCAACGTGTCTTCTTTTTGAGCTCTTCGATCTCCACACGGTACGACTTCCGAAGATCTTGCGTAGCGCCAAAACGGCGGGAGCGCTGCATCTGACTGAGCTCCTTGCGTTTCTCCTTCCATCCAACCGCTAGGGCCTCCGCGACTTCTTGTTCTTCAAACACTTCTTCGGGTTCTTCGGCCGGAATCAGTGAGTCATGTTCTGCAAGAAAAGCTTCAACCTCCTGCAGGATGGGATCGCTATCGGCCTCATCATTTTCAGCTGCATCAGCCTCGATGAGACCAGCCACAAGAGTCTTACGCTTGGAGACTACGTATTCTGGATAGCATGAACGCATGGCGCGTCCCACAGCTTCACGCTTCATAGCTCCCCCACTGCGAGCAAGGACGATGGCCTTCTGCTCCTCGCTCAAACCTGAGCGGTGAAGAATCAGCCACCCTTTTGCCTCTTCTGGAAAGGCAACATCGCACTTCCTGCTGCACCGGTCAAAACATTCCGTTGCACGGGAAATCCAGACCTTCAGAGTTTCGCCATCATTGGCCTTGAGGCTAAACACTTCAGTTAAAACTTCAGACATCTCATCCAGCGTCTCCTTCTGAGGAAACCGGTCATCTAAAAGTTTCAGAAGCTTTGTTTCGCCACCTTCGACATGATACTCTGAGGGATCCAGATGCTCAACACATTCCAACGCCTTGCCCTGTAGGAGCGTATACACATAGGCACCTCGTGCCTTCGCAGACACTTTCCCATCCAGGGTTAGGAGTTTGTTGATAACCCATGTCTTCCATCTTCGATATTCCTTTCCGTCCTCGTTCTCACCAGAAAACATTTTTGTGTTTCCATCCGCAGAACCACTGCTTGCACCGGCCATGGCGCTCAAAGAATCCACGGATCGCCTGACCCGCGGAGCCCCTCTTTGGAGGCTCCGCTACCAATGTTAATTGGTAGCTGATTCCAAACCTTTGGACAACCCAGTGTCCAACATACGGGCTTCCTTTTCTCTCGCCTGAGCAGATAGGTGTCCCTGCGACGCACAAGAGTTGTCCCCTGACAACTGGTGAGATGGTGATTGGCGCTCATGCTGGTGGCTTTAAGATTAGTATATCCATTTCTCTGTGTGTGGTTATATAGTGTTATTTATGTATATATATATATATATCCTGAGGACCTTTTTAATGACATACAAATGGCAATGGGAAGCCTCATTCTAATTTTTAGGAAATCATCTGCAATTTCCTCATGGCTTGAGCCCACCCAAGCCGCGCTCCTCACGTGACCGCGCGGGGAGGTGAACCACCGCCCGCTGGTGCACGGCTGGAGCAGAAAACCACCAGCAACAGTGAGATGCAAAATTTTTCCATAAAACATCATGTGGGGATGGGTCAAAACCCTATCCCCCTGGTGAACATCAAAATAGCTGGTAAATGGATGTTCATCCCACTAAAAATGTATGTATAGGTACTGACCCACCCCCATGTGGTTTACTCTTGGGAATCCAAGCCACGGCTTACTGTCATTTACTGCCTCTTTGGGAGTGCTGTGTCAGGAATGTGCATGCCGGGGAAGCTTGCCGTAAGTGATCCGCAAAGTGAAAATTGTTCCAAGTATTTAGGTCTTGTGCAAACTCAAATGTGGCCTAAAGCTGCGTTTCCACTATCCAAATTCATCGAAATTCCATACCCTGTCCACTAATGAGGGATGCACTTACTGATGGTAAGAAAGCAGGAGAGCGGTTCATCCAGATGACAGTTTCTGAACCTAGAGGAGAGCCTAGTCCCCGAGTCAAACTCAGGGACCGAGGACACACACACACACACCCAAACCTTTATCCATAAGCACCAATAATAAACTATAAAACCATGATAACCCATGATAAAGGGATATAAAGGGTCTGTTGATATATGTTGATATATGTTGAGGGTGGCCATGTCTCAAGGATGCGAAATCTGGCCCATTGAGTTTGGTAGGCCGCGACACAAACAGAGTGGGGATGGCTGCGACAATCCCCTGGGGTCTACATGGCCTTCTTTTGCGCGCCTTTCGGGTCTCGACATTTGTCGAGGGGAGCGGTCCATTGTGGCTTCGACACACGATGAGGTCAGTTGAGTTGCGATCGCAACAAAATCGCAACAAAATGCCCCACAATCACCCTCGTGGCCCGGAGAACTTGATACCCAACTCATAATTGCGGGCTCGCACAGGTTGGGGACATACCTATGACTGTCGACAGACTCATGTGACGGTTTGTCAAAATGATCAAAATGTCTTCTTCTGGTTTGGTTGATAAATCGTAATTCCTTGCGTGCCCCTTCTTGTTTGGTCTTTAAAACGTCGACAAAACTCTTGTCATGTTCATCTGCGCCATTGAACATTTCAATGTATATCTGAAAATGGGGTGCCCCATGGTGCCCCAAATTCCATGTTTCATCATAAATTGACTTTAGCAGATGAAGATTGGGGAAATGATCCACCATTTTTGCACCAAAACACCAGTTGTTTTTTCGGCTAATCTTAGCGTCACAAAAAGATGAATGGCAGCCGGGCCCATGACACGAATGAAACTTCGCCAGTGACCAGCTGAAAGAGTTTTCAAAGAACCACGAACCTCTCCTCTGCAGATGATCCAATAACATCAAAAAACATCCAACTCAAGTGCTGTGTCATGCATCTTGCCACAGTTTTACTGGACTACTTCCACTAAAAAAGTGGAAGCTCTACCAGGTAGAAAAATACCCTTTCAAAATGGGCTTCAAGGCTGGACCACATGCGAAATGAACCAAACATGACCAGGACGCAGAAAAGGGACTGGAATGAAGTGCAAACGCGCAAGAAAAGCAATGTAGGTACAAATCCTTGCAAATGAAGTGTTGTAGAAAGTCCATGATCGATGAAACATGATGAACCATACTGTTGGATCTGAAATACCGCCCATCTCTTTCTACATCTGTCTAGAATGCAATGTGCCCAGCCTGGTGTGATTCATAGCTTTGCGACGTGTCAAATACACTATAGTTCAGATGGGGTATGAGCTGTTGTATGATAATATATAGTTATGTATATATATATATGGTACAAATCAGTTGTCTGTACTTAGCACGGTCAAGTCACATATTTGATAACATTCATTGCACTTGTATACAGTTCCATGCCATACTGTAACCATTTCTGGCGGCTTCCATCATTACCACTCACCATGTCATGATATAGTCAAACTTAAGTCCCCCCCGCAAGGCTTCAAGTATGCCAAATGGCGGCAAGAGAAAACATGCAGTATTCGGTGGTAAGCTGTCACTTACTCCACATATCCCATGATTCCAAGCTTGATGAAGTTCCAAAAAAACAAGTGCTGTAAACAGCGTCTTGTTTCACCTGGGAAGCACCCAGGATACAGCGAAATCATGCGAAATCCTGTGGTATCCTGTGGTCCAGCCTTGGAAATTCAATGGACACCGATGGAAATCTGCTGTTTCCAGTTACCGGATCCAGGCTTTGGTCAGCAAGCCTCACGTGCCTTTAGCACCATGTCCAGTGGAAATCTGGAAACACCCACCTGCTCGGTAGCGTCCTGACGCGGAGCGGGCAGACACTGTCTGAAGCCCCGTATCTTTGATCATTGGCTCAGGTACCCTCTGGTAAACTAACATAGCTATGGAAAATCACCCTTTGATGGGAAAATCCACTATAAATGGTCATTTTCAATAGCTATGTTAAATTATCAGAGGGTAAGGTAATTAGGGCTAATCGGGGGCTTCAAAGTTTAATGGCAGCCTAACTCTGATGCTTCTTCCTATTGGTTTCTGATCCGAACTTGTCGCACTACCAGTGCCTCACTGGCCCAAATCCTAACCGTCCCCCAAGCCTTCTATTCATGTTGGTCTATCCTGTCTCAGATCTACCATTTCCATACCAGCACCTATTCAAGTTCACCAAATCCCGAGTTCAAACTGCCCATAGACCCGGTGTCTACCCGGTGTCTAGCCGGTGTCTACCGCCAGCCTTCCAACCATTTCTGGCGTTGTAGTAGATCAACATGGAGGATGCATCGTTGGGATCCATCAAGGTATCGAAGCCTTAGCGCTGACTCTGCATATCCTAAGGGATCTACCTCACACCATGCGACTTTGCATGGGTTAGAGTTGGGAACTGATCGGACTCAACACAACTGGTCTATACTAAGAGTTTTTCGGGACCTATTGCAACCAATTTTGACCTATTAGCCTATTACAACCAATATTACCAGGAACATCTTGGTCTGTGACATTTTTCACATCACTGGACCCGCGAACTCAGCCAGTGTCCCCAGGCCCAGGTGCTCTAGTTGGACCCAGAAACCATAAACGAAGGCCTCCTTCCAACTGCCCTCCTGCAAAGTGGGACCTCGCTGCAAAAAAAAACAAATTCTGTGCCTATTCTATCATAGCTACAGTATACGTGATATATAATCTATAACGAATTTTGTACGCATAAATAATGCATGTGTATATATATATATACATAATACATTATCAAATAGTAGATGAATTATATGATATTAATTTTCTTAAATCATATACAAAGACGCAGGATCATCCGATCATCCTCACCGGCAACAGCTATGGCACCCTCTGCTGGCTTGGATCCCAAAAAGATAGCGATTTGATGGGGCAAATCATCAATGATGAAATGGTTTCCAGCAAGCTATGTTGGATTACCAGAAGGTACATAAACCGATAAAAACCGATAAAAACCGATAAACAACGATTAAAACCAATGATAATAAATCTGTGACTCCAAATATTCACCCGATACGACAGAACTCCGGGAACCAGGCTGATGTTTCTGATTAAAAAAAAGGGCATCCCAATCATCCCGAGAGTGACTCCAAATTTATCGTAGAAAGCCCATGTTTTATCCATTTTTTATGTGTTCCTTATGTGTTCCTTATCCTTCTCTTTTTTGGTTAGCTTTAACAGCTTTTAACACTTAGCCTTTCGAATGCTTTTTTGTAACATGAGATAACTTTGTGCCATCTCGACCGAGGTGCCAATGAATTCTGTGACGACGGGTTGCCAGCTGAGGCCACCATCAGTGGTTCGCAACATGGACAAAGTGCTGCCCGTCTGATTTGTCGCTGGGTTGAAGGTCAGCCTCGAAAAACGGAGACGGGAAGACTGGGGATCACTCTCCGACGGAAAAATGGGACTCCCCAATGCAGTTGGGACTCTGTCTGTTATGTAAAGATTGCTGATGCCGATTCAAGTGAACCTTGAAGCATTACCTAAACCCAGGTGACCAGGTGCTAACCCGCATGTTACCCTCCGATGCCGACCTGTTGCATACAGCCACACCCACGCCGTCACAAGTCAGGTCCGCTTCAGGCGATTTCACCATTTTCCTTGGGCCCACGGCACACAGGTGCCATTGGCTCCACGTTTCTGTCCGACTGGAGCATTTTCGACCTATAGGATGTATGCTTCTTGTACTCACAGGCATATCGCGGAGTAGAATAAGACTCTCTAAATGTATGATTCCAGCCTTTTGATGTTAAATTTGGGCAAAGGCAGCAATTTTCAATCATGATCCAGCATGAAACGACTGTGAAACAACCCCATCAATCAGCATTTCCCATGCTGACAACGTGTCGTTGACAAACCGCACTCTTTTTGTGTCAAAACACATAAATCTCAGCCCAGGCCGCCCAGGCCTAGTTAAACTTTATGTATCATATCAATCTCATGTGGGGTACTCAGAATATCTCAGAATTGTCCCATGGCCCATGCTCATTTGCCCAGATGCAGCGAACCATGACCCTTGATGAAGAGTCCTGCGGAGTGTAGGCGGCAAAAAACTGGTCGGAAACGAAATAGGATGGCAAGGCTGACGGCTGAATCTTGAAACCATTCTGAGTTGTGAGTCTAGCACACCAGGACCCACAGCAAGTTGGTTTCCCGGCGCTTTCAACGTTTCAACATGTTTCTCAAAAATGTGTTGAGATCATGGATTTCTTGAAGGACCATCCAACGAAAAGAACCACTGTGAATGGCTTCCGGTAGCATTTACCTTACGCAGTAAACACACAAAAAACCACGGAAATCCCATGGTTTTCCGTTTTTTTCCCTTGGAAATGATCTACTGTACTTTCAACTGGTGGCGTTTTCCGCATCTCCTGGGAATCCAGAAGGGATTTCTAGAGGCTCAGTGACCACACGAGTATATGGACCCATCCTTGGCGTCAGTCGAAACATCGATGTTTTGAAGTCGAAACGAGTCGAAACATTTTTGGTTTTGTTCACAAAATGGTTTCCCCAAAATCTCATGGTTGATCATCATTTCATAACAACTGGCTTTACATGTTGTTCTACATTTATATACCCCATTTCCAGTCCACAATCCAGAACACTTCCGAGAGCGCCAAGGATCACATTGTCAGCCTCTGCCAAACCCAAATTCATGGGCTCATCCACATCGGCATCGGTCAATTTGATCATGCCTAACACCAAACTGCCCCAGGATGATGGTGGATTCCGTGGATCATCCTGATCTTCTGTAAAGCCAAATCTGAGGTCTTGTCTTCCCTGCCACCTTCGAAACCTACCCTTAGATTTCAAGTAGCTCTCTCTCTCTCTCACTCTCTCACTCTCTGTTGTGTTTGGGAAGTCTGTGAGATTTCAAATTTCTGCAAAGGTCAAGCACTTGGCACTCTAAATTCGCAGGTGCAAACAACAACCAGCCAATCCTCGTTGCGGCGCTGGGCAAAACTCCTTACTTGAAAAATACATAGAAATACGAGCTAACCCCATTTCGGACATTTCGGGACGCCACATGAACCCCGCCCAAGCCGGCCCAACGTCCCGTTTCAAATGGATGCTCAGTGGCTCGCAGAGTAGTAAAGCCAGTACTTTCCTGCGCCGCTGTCGCGGACACTGGTGGTTTTTATCAACCGCTGGCAGGGCAATTCGCACAGCTGATAGCAGCCAAATATCGCTGAGTGAATTAGTTATACTGGATACATGTACAACAAAGTGCTGCGTCGGGAAATGTTTCAAATACCATCTTTGGCAATATCCCCAGCCCGTAATTCACCAGCTTTGGCAAGGATCCAAAGCCCTGATACATTGTTCGGTTTCTGCAAGGATCTAACTCGGCCGGGGGGCGACCCGGGGCTTGGGAGAGTTCCGAACTAGCTCCAGGATACCTCTATAAGGTTGTATGTTGGCCAAATGTTCTTCATTTGGACTCAAGGGAAGAATACTCAGATATAAAGACCTCAGACCCAGACATAGCACCGCACCAGCGCCCAGTCCTTTCACCTTGTTGTAGAAGACGAAGGGATTCCCCACCCCTCAGCAACCAGCAATTGTCATGCCGAAGGAGCCATAGAACATCATCCTAACCAGCTATGAAAGTCATGGAACATATGGAACCACATGTGGAACCACTAAGCTTCGCATCTAAGGTCCAGGTTTTCCCTTCATTTTAGACCGACGCCAGACTCCTAAGCACCGAAAAACCACGCGCCGCTCTGCCGCTCTGCGTGCTGCCGGGCTTCGCTTCTCACCAAATTTCTCCCAGGTCAGCTCGGATTCCAAAATCCTCAGCCATCCGGGCGCCAACTTGTCACCGAGCATGCGAAGGGGGTATTAGTCTTTTCCGGGTACAGCAACCAATCTTGTACATGAACATTAAAAAAGAATTCCGATGCATCGCTTTAGAACAAGACTGAAACGAAATTCCTCTAACCAGAGTTTTTTTTCTCATTTCAGGCTGCAAAAACATCCCTTTTTTGTGGATAGAAAACAGAATCTCTGGGGAAACTTCACTTCTCCACTGGAGAAACCCCCCCAAAAAAAAATCTCCGCCAAGCATCTTGGTGTAGTTGGTAAACCTTGGCTGAAACAGTTCTGTTGGGAAACAGTAAGAAACAGGAATTTTAGTAAAGCATAGTAAAGCAATAATAAACCAGCCATATGTTGATAGTTTATACCACTCATTTATGGCTTTCTATTGGGAATGGTATACTATTGCTTTACGAACATTATTCCCATTAAAAATCAAAGATAGCAGATGGGGATGATCTCGCCAATCGCGAGGAAACCGAGGAAAGGGCCAGAGATGGCCGGGAAGACACCAGGAAATGCTGCATTAAGTGTATATAACTTTCTGCATACATTACATAATCGTGTATAATGTGTACAACTATATAAACATGTAATATACATAGCATAATATATCATAATACATCATAATATATCGTAATACATGATATATCATAATATCACATGACGTATCACAATATGTCGTAATAATTCACAATATATCTGTATAATATGAGTATATAACTCCCCAAATCTGCCTGTTGTTCCTGCACAATGCCTCGCATTCCCGTCAATCATAGCTTGACGGACGGAAAATGCAAATAGCCGGATTCCCCCAGTGCTTTTTGAAATGGTTGCTTGGACGTCTATGGTGAGCTTGGTCATTCACTTCTTTTGTCTTCGTTTAGTGTCTTGAAATTATGAATCCAACGTGTGGCATGTCGGGCATGTTCAATCACTGGGACTCTTAGACAAATGAAACAAAGCTTCTGCAAAATTCTATATCAACAGGGGAAACCAAAGGTTGGGGTGTCCCCTGTTTTTTGACAAACCCATATCCCGTCAATCAGGAGACTTGACGCCAAGAAACTCCCACTTTCCGATTTCTGCTTCCGCAGCCATCATCTTGCCTCGATCATCATCATCATCATCATCATCATCATGCAAATGTAGTATGTACTGCAATGAAAGGGCCAGGCAAGGAAGGGCAAGGCAATGCAATGTAGTGTACATATGTGTACATATGTGTACATATGTGTACATATGTGTACATATGTGTACATATGTGTACATATGTGTACATATGTGTACATATGTGTACATATGTGTACATATGTGTACATATGTGTACATATGTGCGTATGTATAGCAGCCCCCCAAAAACAACGATAGAACATTGGACACAAAGAAATGTGAGGTAGATCTCACCGGTATCTTGGAAACACCATTCTATCTGTTGGGGGTTACTTACTAAACACGTAAAAAATCGGCCATCCCTTCGCCAAATACCACCGAGCGACTTGCAAAGATGTAGGGAAATTCGTACTTCTCATAGAACCTTAGAGGAACGATGTTGGGAAAGCTGACCGAAGAATGAATGGAACAGAATGGTCTCTGTCGGCTGTCAACATGTGAGCCTATGGAACTGTCACTCTCAACCCGCCGACTTGTTTCAACTTGGTTGAAGCAGAGTCATTATATTTATATGAGAAGTGTTGAACCCCACAAACATAGCATTGCTTGCTCTTCATGAATCCTTCTGAACTCCGAAGAAAGTGGGTGGACTTCGAAGGAGCCCAGGCCGGAGTACCATGAGGGTACTCGTTCCAGCAGGCTTCCCTCATGGTGCAATATGCTGCATCAGTTTACAGATATAGAATCTGACTCAGAACGATGAAAAGGACAAATATTAGCATATTGCAGCATATGAGTATGAGTATTGCATAAGTATTTGTCAACCGGCAGCTTGTTCCCAAAAGAATCCCCACAACATATTTGTCACACTTCCAGGGATCATGGAATGACGACTACTGGAAACTGCCGGATCGGCAAGAAACAGTATGACCTTGTTGTTTGCTTCGTCTAAATAAGCATATGGTCCTGAACTGCGCTGGCGGACGCTTGCAAAATCAGTATGACGCTTGCAAAGTGGCAAAGCTGGGAACATGATCTATGGTGAGGAATTGTCAAGTGGGGATGACCACATACTCCTTTTCTAGGTGCTATGGATCCCGAAAACCCTTTGTCAGTTGGGTTCACGGGCTTACAGACTCATCTGCCTATTTCTTCTGCTTCATCAAGTTTACACCATCAGGTCAGCCATACATCTTCATGACGACACCACCAGGAAAAACAGGGTTGCTCCCAAGACCCGAACAAGGGGGTAACGTTGGCTATAGAGGTAAAATATGGTAAAATGACTCAGAAAAACCACCCTAGTGCTTATCATTGATCTATAATGGGAGCAACCCTTGATTTACACAGGTGGAATCTTTTGGTGCGATTAAAACTCTCCCATCCGATTGCTGTGGAGAGCTGCACATGTGGCATTGGCAGACCTGGGGGTTCCGTGTAGCTGATGGGTTGGATCTTGCAGAGTGACCCATGACCATGTCTCAAATTCATGCAGATTTGTGCAGTCCTTTAAAAAAAACATTAAGTATCAAAGAGGGGAGACATGAATGTAAACAACGGCTGGGCACGTGTTTGGTATTCCCGAAAGCATCATTCAAAAAAAATCTTTGGGAAAATCAATGAGTTTGTTTCATACTTGGTGGCTCATCCCACTTAGTAAGTGGGTTACAACCTAGTCTAATAGGTGGATTTACCCTACTTATCCCATACCCATGGGACCCAATTTATGGTTGTTTCCCTTTTGATGACTAACTCCACTGTGCAGTTCCAGGCTCGAACTGTTCCGAAGCCCTGGATGGAATCCTGGGAACTGCCATTGAAAGAACATGCAATTCCGGCAGCCGGTTTTCCCATGCCATTTTGAAAGAATGGAAGAGACCCCCCAAATGGAGTTTTTGAATGGGTAATATATTCATGTAATATACGTATGGTAATATGATGATTAAACAGTTGATTTGGGGTAATTATAGGCCCATTCTCACAGAAACAAAGCTGTTCAGAATTGCGGCAAGTGAAGTTTTTCGACACTCTCCAGGCAGGTGGCATTCAGCTGCTTGAAGTTGGTGGGGTCTTTGGCATCTGCAACGTAATGCCTGGCTGAGCTCCGATCATCTCCGATCTCTGATGGTTGTTCGGGGAAGAAATCGGAGAAACCCTGATGGTTCTGTGGTAGAATCTGGAAAAAAAGCAAATGACAAGGTGGGAAGCATCAGCTGCATCTCTGAAAGATGGAAAGCTTTATCAGAACTTTATCACTGCAGAAAAGAATTGGGAGCCAAAAACAAAGGAAGTCCATGGAAGTCTCGTGCCAACCTTGGAATAGACGGTGAATGAGACCGTGTTTTTCAGACAGCGGTATCGATTTCTTCCAGAAAAGTCTTGCACTTACAAAAGCAGTTTAACAATCCAGGGCCAACATTGCTTCACAAGGCATAACAAGTTCTTCCACCCCACAAAATCCTGGCGGAGAACAAGTCCCTGGACAATGGAACGGAACAAATTAATCGATAAATATACTGACATGATATACCATGATATACCGCATACTTTTGACGTGTTTGACTTTGGCCTTGTTTCATGATCACCCACAACCAAATTCCTTGATCCACAACATCTCTAGCAGAGGTGCTGAATATTTGCCAACGCTCCATTCCTGAGTCGGATATCGGGGCGGAATGATAGGGCACAAGCTGGTGGTCTATGTGATCAACAATGTTTAACCAACTCATTGCCCAAAGGAACCAACTGGAAGCCAGCTACGGTCACCTGACTGCCATCTGCACTCAACGTGGATATTTTTTCGGAACCGTAATGACAAAGGCATGGAAATGCGTGGAAGTCTTGAAAGAACTCCTTCTTCACCTACACTCCCCGAATTCCGACGCAAGTGATGCACCAAACCACAGCTTCCCCCTACCAAACCACCTATTTCGCTTCCAAACTCTTCAGGGTGACATCTTGCCAACTACCAAAACGAAAAAAAATGGATGGTGCCAAGGTGTCGAACTGTGAAGGTTCAGACCACTCCAAAAATTCTCTTCCTACGTCCCTTTCGATGGAAAACGTACATCGTTTGACACCAAGAGCCAGTAGTTCTGAGTAGGCTATACTTTTCCGGATACATTGACCAAAAACGATCACAAATTTGACATCACCACGCAGATTTGAGGTATACACTGTGTCATTAGATGCTATGAGTCAGTGTCAGTGTTTATATGGACTTGTCCAAGAATATTGAAGCCCCAACACTGTTTTAAAATCATGATCCTGGAATGATCCTCATTAATATAACCATCTATGGACAACACCATATTTCAATCATTTTCAATCCACCTTTTAGGAGCAACCCGTTGCACACAGCACCAAAATGTCGCCATGAGTCGTCCACATGTGAATCTCATCACCGATTCGTTGCACCTGAGATGAAACCCTGGGTGAAACCCTGGGTGGAGCCACTGAGTTCACTCCGAAATTCTGCATGAAACGATGGTGGAGCCATGTTGATGTGTCACCAGGGGCATTTTTATGTGTGGTCTTTGGGCCGGGGACCTGAAAAGCACAAACAGCTAGTTGAACAGCTAAGAAAGGTGGTCTGCGTGAAACCCGGGGTGCCGGATCTTCCCGTGAAGGTCGCTGACCGTCTGCACCATTCTCAAGTCGGATATTGTAAGTCCCTCCCAAGGCGACTCTTGGAACACCTGTTCCCAAGTGGCTATACTATTACATTATCTGGTTGGTGGTATACCTACCCCTCTGAAAAATATGAGTCAATAGGAAGGATTATTCCCATATATTATGGAAAAATAATCCAAATGTTCCAAACCACCAGCCAGATTATGTATATCTATAGCTACTACTGTATATATCCAAGTATACTTCTCAAGGATTTTCATGGATTTTGTGATCCCTAAAGGGTGTCCATACGGTCCATGTACTTTCTTTTTAAGATCGCTCGACTGTCCGCCTGAGATCCCAACAGTTGGGTCGCCAACAATCCAATTCAAGATGCCTCCCCGAAAGATTGGACAGATTGACCGAATGGTGCTGAAAACCATGGTTAAATATGGTTAAATATGGTTAAATATGGTTAAATCATGATACATCCATGTTTCAAACCATGTTTCAAACCATGGCAACATTGACAATGCAAAATAGACAAGAACTCCATGGTGCAATGCTGCAGGGATTTTGTACTCACAAAGCTGGATTGGGGGCATCTTGGGGACTGGAGATGATCAGAAAGCCAGACCTTGGGCGACAAACAATTACCAAATATGGTTGACTGTATCATCTTTGGTGAAGTCAACCTATCATCAGTCGTGAGAAATTCACTATCAAAGCCAAATAACCTAAAAAAAAACGAGGTCTTTGGGTTTGGGTGAACCAAGTCGGGACTTGGTTTTGTGTGAAACTCAACAAAGAAATCATGACCATGAAAATACAATCAGCCCCCAGGATAGAATCTACCGAAGCTACCTGCAAGGAGGAACTTGACATTAAAGCCAAGGGACTGGGGGGCTGAATGATGGGATTTTTGGCCCAGTCATCTACGCCTTTGGCGGCTGCCTGGCAGGTGAAACACAGCAAGGGGAAGCCCAAAACTAGGGGCAGCGGCTTCTTTGCTTGTCGCAAAACTAGGGGCGAACCCGGTCCGTTGCTGACTCCGTTGCTGACTCCGCTACTGACTCTGGATGCTCCAATTTTCAGAAAATGCATGCCATGTCAATTGGAGGATTGTTCAGTCTGCAAGTTTCTGCAAGCTTCTGCTGTGCCTGAGCTTGAACCCATCCATCTTCAAGGCCTTGACTGTACCTTGAAAAGGCTAGGCTTGTCCTGATCACCCTGGAATTCCCATGGAACTGACCAAAAAGATCCAAAAAGTGGGCCCTCTATGGAAATCTTAGCGGCATCCGTTTGTTTGTTGATTGAGCCCATCAAAACATTAGCCAATCAATCTGAGGATTTCTTCCACTTTGGAAACTTATCAAAGTTCAGCTGCGAGTTCCAACTGCCCCGTCCATCCGTCCATCCATCCGTCCGGGCACTGTCTTCTGGGCTTCTGGTGGTTCTCTTCTCCGCGATAGTTGGTTTTCTTCTGGCTCTGGCCATTCTGGCCCTGGACGAGATTGGTCATGATCCAACTCTCCGAACTCAAATGTTGTTTTAAATGATTGGAGGCAAGTCCAAGTGGGAATTGTGGGAATTGTATCAAGAGTAGGACTGGGAATACAACACAGAAACAGATTTTTCAAATTGATGCTTCTACAAAAAGGGCCCACATAGACCAGGGTTGTGATCACAATGTTTCAAATCGTTTCAAACAATCAACGCGCAAGTTGCTGTCTGTCTCCATCTCCCTTGATTTCGATTCAGGGCTGTCAAAATTGGGCCCTTCATGGCGACTTGTTACACAAAATTCTGTCTGTTGCTTCCCACTTTTCGGTGAAATCCCTGCTGTAGGTCGAATAGCCACCATTTGATGTTTTTTATATCGAATTATTATACATAGATTATACATCAAATAGATATTCTATTGCTACCTATATATCGATAATATCGATATGTTTGATTCTTTTTGCTGATTTTCCCACAGAAGTGGTCCCCAAAGACTGGACACTTACTTACGAACACCATCAACCAGGATGGAGAAAGCTATTGATTCATACTACTAATTTCCCAAGAACTTGAAAATATGAGAACCATGATTAACTCATGGGGTATTTCAGGTAACCACAAAACCAGAAAACCAACTGAGCACCGCACCTCCTGATATTTCGCACTTGAAGAGCCACAACCCATGGCCGCGGCAGCTTTTACTGCGCGGCTTGGTGGATGCTAAATAGCAGCAAAACATGCGAGCAATGACTTTCAGCTTCCAAAAAATGATTTTTAAGCGGACATCTATATGTAGGATAATGATTTTCCGTTAAACATAGGTTTGTTTGACAATTTGGACCCCCCCCAAATCTCATGATTAATCATCTATCCAAAAGAATCATGGGGAGATTCCCGACAAAAATTCGGGATTTAATCAACAGGATGGCAAACCAAGAGATAATTGGTGGATTGGACGTTCGACTGCGACTTGGAGATAACTCAAGAACATGGTGGTGAAGGTAAAGCCGGGTTCCATTTGCCAATCCAAAAACCGCCCAAAACCCCAATGTCTTGCAGGTAACTCAACTTGTCAACTGGTGATTTTCATTTGGGACTTGGAGCAAGTCATTTCGCCCGCACAACTGTACAGAAACCCGATTTGTGGGCGCACCCATCTTCAAGGACAGGACTAAACTCACCAGGTTGATTTTGGGGAGGCGACGCAAGGGAAACTATGGTTTTAACATTCCAAGTACACGAGGTTGCTGTGAATGTTCCTGGTCGATTTTGGGCACCCAAGTCATCCAGCAGATTTTACCATTGAGAATCGGATATTGATCATCATCCCAGATCGGGAAACAAATGTTGGTGATATATATACACCTCACATTTCTGCATACCATATTTGGTGTATAACTTGGATGTTTGAAACAAAGAACAAAGATCCCAAACTTGGATGAAGGTAAAATCACATGAATACCCTAAACAATATTTTAAAATCATGATTTTCGGTAAATGGGGTTGTCCAAGACTACGGTTCTTCCTCCAAAATTGTAATTTTGATGACATATATGGGGAATATTTATGATGATAAATTCTTTAGATTCCTACCATATGGTACCATACAAACCCATCCAATGAGAAGACCCTTTTTCAAACCACAGAGTGCACCGGCAATTCGCACAGCTGGACCTCACAACGGGCAGGTTTCAGCTGCGTCCAGGAAGCAGATGAACGTGGAAAACGGCGCTGGAGTGGTGCGAACATGACAATTTCAAGGAGCAACTGTACGTACCAAAGTTCATCATAGTTTTCCTACATTTTTTATAGCATATAATGATGATTCAATAACATAGAAATCATGTCTTCCAGTATGACCTAATTACGTATGGCCAAACAGTTGAGTTCAGAAAACCTGTAGAAGAAAACAATTATAAAACAATCAAGAATGAACATGGATGAACAATCCATGGACGTGCCATGATGTGCCGGTCCAAGCAGCTAGGGTCTGCTTTGGTCACAAGATGTCACAACGCTTCTGGGATGTACTGTCCCGTCTTCTCGTTGTACCTCATGAGAAACCCCGAAGACTTTCGGATTTTCCTGTTTTTTTGGGTGGCACGGTGCCGAGTATGGGAGTGTCATGGAGGTTCCAGTAGTCAAAGACAGTGGGGGCACAACCTGTTAATATAAATGCAATAAAGAGTGGTGCAAGCTGATTGAAAGAAGTAGCCACAGTTGTGGGAAGAGGCAGAGAAGAGAGCGTGCGGAAAGAAGATCGAAGTGCGTGAAGCAGTTGCAAAACTCTTTGTTTTTCCACTGTTTTGTGGTTCCGGAGGGCCGAAAAGTAGTAGGCTCGCTAAAGCGGTGGGTGCTGGGAGATCAAAAAATGCGCGCCACTGTGCCCGAAGCACATTGGGAAGTCAGAATTCTGAAAATACCTGAGGTTCGGAACGCATTTTTGGAAGTTGAACAGTTCAAAAAGTGTTCGCGTCTGTGGCGCGAAGCACATTTCGAAGTCAAAACGTACAAAACACACCATGTTTGGAGCACTTTTGGAAGTTGAGATGTTAGAAAAAGTGCACCTGGCTGTGGCAGGACGCACATTTCCAAGTGAACATTTTAAAAGCACCTCATGCTCGGAGCACTTCTGGAAGCTGGGTTTCTCAAAAAGTGCATGCGGCTGTGCTTCGCGGTAAAAGCAAGCACACCATGTTCGCACCACTTTTGAACAGTCAATCGCAATTTTTAGTGGCAGGCGCAATCGATTCTGCACCTTCACAAAAGTGAGGGTTGTGTAGTACTTTCAAAAACGATGGCAGGCGTGAGGCATTTGAAGAGGATCTGCAAAGATGAATTTCGAGTGGGAGGCGCAGTGACATGTTAAGAGGTCAGGGCGCTGATCATTTTGGAGCATCAGATCTTCAGGTTTGCTAAGATGATTTTGCGTGACAGGTGCAGCACTTCGTGTGACCTGGCCTCACTTTTTCGTAGCATGTGCAATGCTTTATCTCGCATAATTGCTTTCTTACAGGTAGATAGATCGATAGATAGATAGATAGATAGCTAGATAGATAGCTAGATAGATAGCTAGATAGATACATAGCAAGATAGATAGCTAGATAAATAGCTAGATAGATAGCTAGATAAATACATAGCTAGATAGATAGCTAGATAGATAGCTAGATAGATAGCTAGATAGATACATAGCAAGATAGATAGCTACATAGATAGCTAGATAGATACATAGCTAGATAGATAGCTAGATAGATAGCTAGATAGATACATAGCAAGATAGATAGCTAGATAGATACATAGCAAGATAGATAGCTAGATAGATAGCTAGATAGATAGCTAGATAGATAGCTGGGTAGACAGCTAGATAGAAAGCTAGGTAGACAGCTAGATAGAAAGCTAGGTAGACAGCTAGATAGAAAGCTAGGTAGACAGCTAGATAGAAAGCTAGATAGATAGATGGATGAATGGATGGATGGATGGAAAGATCAGGTACGATAAGAAAAGATCAGATCAAATCAGATCAGATTCGTTTGGGCTGGATAGATAGATACATAGATAGATAGATGGATAGATAGATAGATAATTAAAAAAATAGATAGATGAATGGATGGATAGATGGATGGATAATAGATAGATAGAGGGGGAAAGGGAGAGACAAATAGGCAACAGAGAGATAATTAGAGAGACTCAGAGCCTCAGCCACCTTACGTTCTATGAGCCACTGGATTCGCTCTGCCATCCATGCATCACAACAACTCACCTCTCCTATAGGTTTCCTATCTTTGAAACTTCCGCCACCGCCTTGTGCGGTACTACTAATAGACACTGCGTTGCCACTTGAAAGTGCTGGTCTCAGTCCTCTAGGGTAATGTCCTTGTTGGCTGAAGAATCCCACCTGCATACTGGTAATCCAGTAATACCAAGAAGGTTTGCCCAATTCTTGATTAGAACATGTTCCAACTGCCAGACTCATTCATAATTTGAGGTAGGAGTTGATCAAGATTCACCGCACGGGGCACAGGAAGATCTCTCGTCGCACCGCAGACTTCACAAAGATCTGACGAAGGTTGTCCCAGCGACGAGCGTCCAACCTGGCAAGCTCAAAAAGGAGGATCCCATTCTTGAACCTCAAAAAAGTGTTTACCCTCTGGTAAACATACAAAAAACTATGGAAAATCACCATTTTGAATGTGAAAATCCACTATAACTGGTCATTTTCAATAGCTATGTTAGTTTACCAAAGGGTATGTCACGAACTAATTAGAAGTGATCCCCCAACTTGTTGATCCACCCATAAAAACTCTGCAGATCTTGGCCTGAAATTCATCAAGCAGGGTCGCTTCAGTCTCGGATTGGGTTCGCCATTCTTGTCCACGTACCTGCAGCTCAAGATTTTGCATCTTTCTCTATCAATGTGTGGAAAGTTGTGGAAACTGTAAGCATTGGAAAAGTTGTTGGCCAAAAAGTGTGTTGCTTTCACCTCCACATTCTCCAGTTGGGAAAAAAAACACAGGTGAAGATTGACCAGTTGGGATCACAATTGACA